GAAAAAGCGGGAATGAGCAAGGACAAGATGCTGCTTCTGTCGGTACTGTAAGTCTTTGCCTAAGGAAGCCAAAGGACTATGGTGTATCTCAGCCTTTGCTGGCTGCAGTGACTAATTACTAAGTTAAGCCAGTGCTTGTTTCTCTGGAGATCTGCCATGTTTTGAAGAGCTGGCTCCAGTTCTGTTGAATTTCTCACAGGGAACCTCCTGTGCCTTAGAAAAGTCTCCCCCTTAACTCCAGCTCGTAACTTGATTTTTCTTATCTGCGGGGTACGGATGAGACACTCAGCTGTTATAATTTAACGCTGTTGTCCTATTAGCTTTCCCAGGTACCTGATTCCAACTTAAGTGAAGTACATGACAGTCTTATCAACTCCACGGACTTTGAAGCAGGCTCCAGCTACAGGATTGATCCAATATGGAAATGCCATATCTGATTCCAGGAAGGGAGGAAAATCATCGGCTGAAATTCTTTACAGACTTGCAGATATATCTTGGCATGCTAAATGGAAATGAAGGAATTTCTCAGAGAGAATGTTAAATAACTCACCAAATAATTGTTAACACACGCAATACAACCCCCATCCCACCTCTGTCGCTCAGTCAGGTTATGGTTTACCGACTGCAGTAAGCTGTTAACTAGCTTGCGCTGTTTGTGGATATACTTACTACTGTTTTTGGAAACAAAGACCAAATCAGTGGCTGGCTTCACAATTTTAGAATAAAAACTTGGTGTCAAGGTGCGCTGTCCGCTCTTGTGTCCATCAAACATCTGTATTCAATTACAAAGCATTTTAGAAAGGGATTCAGGGGGCATTGTTTGGGACATAAACTGGGCCCAAGCCCAAGAAAGGGATCTAGAAAGCTCAAGCTCCATCACCGCCTGCTGTAGGAAGGACTGACATCTACCAGCATCCAAATTTGGTTGAACACTCCAGCACCCTTTCTGAGCTCAAGCAGCACCATAAGGTCTTGGGTACCTTCTGAACCGAAAGGGTCTCTCCCTGGCTCACAGCAGGATTTTTCCTGGCAGCTCATGGCAGATAAAAAGCCGAAGCAGGATAAAACTGAGCTTTAAGTAAGGCAACAAACTCTGTTTCATTAGTTTTGTTTCATTACTGAGATAGGCAGAAACTTAAGGACAAAAACTGACTAGAAAACGGCGAACTTGCTTAAGTGGTGTCTAAACAAACTGAAGAAAACACTGACAAAACCTCTGGTGGGTACCTTTCAAATACAATAACCTCGTATATGCTGCATTACAAGCTATACACAGGTATCTGCTACAATCAATGATTGGTTAATTGTATGCATTTCAAAAGAGAAGAGTCCTTTGTGATTTATCAATCCTTCTGAATTTACCATTAAAAATATCAGCTAAGGCAGGAGTGTTTGAATACCTGTCTAGCTCCGAAGCTGTCAAAAAATATGAGAAACATCAGAGAGGCTCTGCTACAGCCCTAAAAAGAACGGAAATAATTGTAGTTGTGGTACTGGTGAACCTACAGGGGTTTTCTGTTAATATCTCTAGCTACCACACAACCACAAGAACTGTCATGATATACATTTATATGATTTTTTCCTTTTGGGTATAAGCATCCACGCTAAAATACCCCATATGCTAAAAGACTGATGCTTAATACTTCTTTCCAGATGTGCTTTGGTTTAGTTAAATATTTAACACATTTCTAGAAGTATGTAGTCTATAATTGCATTAATACTTCAGAGGAATGATGTCCTGGTGAGTAACGGGAAAGACATTCCAAGGTTGGCTGTGGACCCACTCCCGCCAGGGATCAGAAATCGGACAGGTTGCCTTTAAAAAGAAATCTGTCTGATCACCACAGATCACCGTGGATGGCATCTAAACAGCAACACAACCACAACCCTGACAGTGTCCCCCAGTAAAATTCCCCAAGGCCTAAACAAAGTGACATTCTGTAACATGGCAAAATTGCAAACAGCGAAGTCCTCATTAAATTCAAACGTGTACAAGTAAAATTGCACAATGCATGCAACTGGATGTATTTAATTGCTGAATTCTGTGCTGTCAGCAATACAGTTCTGCCTTTTTCCCCTATGCATTTCCACAAACAATTGCTCAAAAGACTCAAAGTGTAAGAGCTGGAAAGAAGATGGATCCCTGAAGAAGCGATTAACACCTCCACAAAAATAAAAACATTAAAGCAGTACTCTAATGAGATATCCGACCCTGGCAAATGCATGTATTAAAAGCATTGGAAATAGCTGACAAATTTTAAATAGTAATATGTAACTCAAGTGTGGTCTGGCTAAACAGTACTTAGACAAAGATTTTGGATGAGATTTAGGAAAGTACCTCAATGAATAGGAAATAAAGCATTCACCCCTTTCAATAATCCCAACCTTACCCTTCAGAAGAACAGTCAAAGCAGGGAGATAATGAAAACCTGTTGAGATGTGGTAAGAGGGGAGGAGGAGTAAACAGGGAGCTTTTCTCCACCCCACTCCACAGCTGCTCTGGGCCACAAAGCACACCGAGTACCCAGCTCTTAAGAAGCAAAAGGAAATGCTACCAAGGCTCTCAAAAGTTTGATGTGCTCAGGAAGTATTCCAAAAGCTCCTAAACAATGGCATGAAATGGTGACTTTGTGAGATGTGTCTGTGTCTGCAGCAGTAAATTAAATAAGCACAGCAAGACGTGCAATTGTGCTACCAGGGCTGGCCACATCCCCACTGCTTACTGAGCATTCCCAGTGTCGCTGGCCTACACTAATTCACAAACCATGACCTGGAGGTGCTTTGAAGACTTGATCAGAGCCAGAACAGAGCATAGGACAGTTCTAAAAACTGAACAGAACAAGCAACTGAGTTGCAGTGCTTGTGATGTGGAAGACCTATGGACACAGACCCCAAAATCACCTTCTACATGGTGTGGGCCAAGGCAGAACAGTGATGTTACCCAAGTCCTTCAGCCCGCTGTGTAAGAGTCAGCAGCAGGTTGTTCATCAATCAATCAATCAGATGGAAGGAGGATGCATTATGCACAGACGATTTTAAAAGGCTTAATGCTTAGAAAAACGTAAAGGTACATTTTCTGCTGAAATATATGGGAGCTGTTAGGCCACGTTGAGCACTTTTATAAAATTTAAACCTACCCTGTTTCAGGACGGTGAAGTCATACTTACAGCACAGTACGACCACTTGAACATCTGGATAAAAATGGGTGTGTTTAGTCACACAGAAGAATCAGGAAGATGGTATTACATTGACCTCAATTATCTCGCACAGGTCCTTCCTATTACAAATTACAGTCTTGGAAAATACAAGCAGCAGCAGGGGAAGGGAAGGAAGACAACTTACCAGAAACAAAAAAAGAGGCTTGGGATAGGGGAGGATTCAATTTTAGTTAAAAGAGAGACATTTTATTTCTTAATTATTTTTTAACATTCCAGGTTTATCCCAAAGACATTATTCTGCAGACATTTATCTTACAGGTCTTCAGACTGATAAAACACTAGGAATGATGTGCTAAACCTAGCAAATGAAGACATAGGTAAAATAATACCAGAGTGATTTGTTTTTCTCTTTTAATAAAATTCTGGACATTTCAATCCAATTTTTAATACCGGCCAAAGCCATTCATACCTAGAGCATCTGGAATAGTCCATTAAAGGAACAAAACTTGACAAGATGCAAACAGCAGACTACACTTGATTTCTGCAACGGATGGCAAAAGCTGCTGGAGAAGCAGTATCTGTACACTTGAAAAATGTTACATCAGTGACGAATGGAATTTTGTGCTTTAATACTTTGCTTGAAAAGTCTCTTTGTCCAACATGAAGTCAGCAAATCTCTGCTGGAGCTCCTTTTCTCTCTCCTGCTGTCGCTGCACATCTTCCTTCAGACACTGCAGAGAAAACACAATTAAGCAACCAGTCAGTTTTCCCAATAATCACACCCATGAACATCTTTCCCAAAGGCGGTATTTTAGTTCCTTCGAGGAAGGGGTCAGAACTGAGCTAGGACAGTGCTAAAATTATTTATTTAAAATATAAATGTAAAACAGAGCAGTGATGTAGAGTATCAAGAATCAGAGTTATCTTCCTTCAAATGTCAGGTATCTTACTTTGGTTTTGACAGCAGTTAATAGCAAATGCTTCAAAAGGGGAGACTTCAAATTCAAAACTTGCCGCAGGTGGTGCATTGTATTTAACAGTTATCTGTGGATTCTTCTTCCATTAGTTTGTTCAAAACCATTTTTCTGGGGTAACCTTCCTAATTACCCCTGCATCCTGCAACAAGGCCTTCCACAGACCTTTGTCCACTAACTCCACAGTGCATGAAGGAGAACCCCTAGGTGTTCTAAAACCACCAGCTGCTCATTCATTTGATCTCCCTTCACCCTTGTATCAGAAGAGACAGTAAATGTATTCTGAGGATTAGCCCCCAGTCAAGTGCCATTTACTAAAACCAGGTGCTATTAGTAGTGCTCAAGCTATTTAATACATTTTTACTGTTGACTTTCACTATATCAGTTAATCACTTCTGAGTCTGTAAACACACCTATCAGCATTTCTAAACTGTCTCCACAAAATCAGTTTAAGAACTGATACATTTTATCTTTTTTTTACAGCAAGTGGTTTCAGACTCAATGGAAATCTCTGTTCTGGAAGCAAAAAAATAAATTAAAAGGGAAAAATTGTGCTCAGGTGAGCAATTCTTGGAAAGCAAACCTGGCACTGGCTTAAGCCTATGACTGAGTCTTGGTTGAGGGTTGCCTTGTTAGCTGAATAAAGCAGAGAAGAATTTCCTGGAGATCCTTAAAGCAAGAACAGTGGCTCTGAGGCACTGTTTTCAGGTATCTCAGTGTACCAGTTTCTGTTAGTTCTGGGCTGAGGTTAAGGCTGCTTAAGAGAAAGAGGTATCTTCTCCTCGAAGCCATGCCAACCAGCTAGAGGCCAGTAAGACAGGTGGTGTTATTCAGGAGAAATGAAATGTCCAGATCACACCTGCGTATATTGTCAGCCAGGCAAATGGTCTGAACTCTGAAGATGGCTCAAAACTGTAATTACAGAAGAACTGCTCAGCTCTGAAACCAAGAGCCATGTTTAAATCAGTGCAACAACCCCACTTCAGTACTGGCCGTCCAAAAGTCCAGCTGTCTGCAAGTCTGACACCAATGTTAGCTTCAAGAAATAATAAAATCAACATGTGAAAAGAAAGGAGAATCTCCTGTAGTATATACTGGCATTTAGTGCACTGACTTTTACAGAAGTAGGAGGTTTTACACAAGTTTCAGATCTACCCTAAGTATTCGAACAGTAATTAAAACCAAAACACGCCAAATTAAGAGAGATATGGAACTTCTGCCAATATGCATTATAGAAGATTAATAAAATAAACCACACAAGGAAATAAAATAAAGTTAAAGAACACATTAGTAGATTAGTCCCAGCTTCTAATATATACATTTTATATACATGTATATTAAACAGAATCTCTGATGTTCAAGTGAACAGCAGAGGAGTCTGGCAATAGCCAAAAGTATAATTTTAAAAGATCATTAAAAACTTGATACAAAACCAGGCTGTGAGCCTCACTAAAAACAACTTTTCTGCAAAGTGCCTGCCTTTGACCTAAGGTATCGCATTTAGGACTCTCACCTCCAGTCTCCGAGGGATTGCAGCATCTTCATGTTTCTTCAGCTCCTCAAAAGTACGCAGCTCCAGATGTGCCTGTTCGATTTGGTCCCACAAATCATTCAACTGTTTGATGAGACCCATTGCTCGAGACTGATAACCACCAAGCAAGATCTTCAGCTTCTTCTCCATCTTGGCAGCTCTTTTTGCTTCAGTTGTCATGTGGCCTCTGTTTATCTGTCAGAAGGAACCCAAAAATTGTTTTATTCATCCAAAAATCAAAAGTCAAGGTAAAATAACCTAAAAAACCACTACTGAAAAGATATCTGTGGAACTGTAACAAGTTGATCAAGTCCTCTGATTTTATTAACAAATGATACTGCATGCTTTACAACAACCTGGATTTCTGTATGAAAACCCTGACAATGTAAAGTCATTGTTCCAGGGGTGAAGTCCACAAGCCAAAACAAGGGTGATGACAGACTATGAGTGCAGACAGGAACTGTTGCAGTTGCTGAGCTAAGTAAGCAGCCAAGCCACGTTATGGCTCACTACATCACATCCCACTTACACAGGAGATGTTCTTTGCCTTAGTAAAGGAAAACTAAATAAAGGTATTATGTTTCTCCTTTTCAAAATTCTTAGTCCAAAAAAGGAGCCACATCATTCAATCCTTCTGCCTATCTCAACAGCTTTCATCTAAATCATATTCCATAAAGTACAAAGGCAATTGGGAACATTAAGGCAGCTCTGAATCTGTGTCCCTGTTGCAGAGAACCATAATGAAAATGTTTAGACTGGTTTGAGTGGCAAATGAATGGCAACGTTGGGGCATGGAAGCAACACAACGAACAGCAGAAGGACTACTTGAATGGTAACTAAGTCATATCACTTATCTATATGCACTTTCTTAGCACAGCCACATCAGGAGACAAAGGTCTAAGGCCAAGATTGGACCAGAAGGCCAACCACATCCTGGGCTGCATCAGAAGAAGCACGGCCAGCAGATCAAGAGAGGCAATTCTGCTCCTCTGCTCTGCTCTGCTCTGGTGAGACCCCATCTGGAGAACTGCATCCAAATTTGGAGCCCTCAATAAAAGAACATGGAGCTGCTGGAGCGGGTCCAGAGGAGGGCCACAAAAATGATCCAAGGGCTGGAGCACCTCTTCTATGGAGACCGCTGAGAGAGTTGGGGTTGTTCAGCCTGAAGAAAAGAAGGCTCCAGGGAGACCTTATAGTGGCCGTCCAGTACCTGAAGGAGGCCTGACAAGAAAGCTGGGTGATAGGATGAGGGACAATGGTTTTAAACTGGAAGGGGGTAGATTTATATTAGACATTAAGAAAAAGTTCTTCAGTACAAGGGTGGTGAAGCACTGGAACAGGCTGCCCAGCAAGGTGGTGGCAGCCCCATCCCTGGAGATATTCAAGGTCAGGCTTGATGGGGCTCTGAGCAACCTGATCTGGTAACACTGTCCCTGCTCACTGCAGGAAGGTTGGACCATTCTGTGATTAATGGTCCCTTCTGACCCAAACCATTCCATGATTATGTACCTTAGTGTTTACAAGCATGTGAGTATGAGACTGCAATTAAGTGAAATCTGTTTTGTCTTAAAATAATGTAGCCTCACCTATCTAGAAGATCTCCCATTCAGCTTTACTACATTGCTATAATGCTGCACCATTATTCTCTCCCGCACCATACCAAAAACCTGGAGGTCCCCTGTGGCCTCTCAAGTAACCACAGGGCTTTTTATTCCCTTCTGTGTCTCACAGTAACAAGGTAAGATTATCTTGAGCCAGCAGGCAAATATTGAGATAGCGCAATGAATCGGCTGCCTAAGGTCAGTGGCAAAAGCCAGAAATAAAACCCCAAACGTTACAATCTAATAGTGTACACAACAGATGTGACAAAGTGATGAGATTAAAATGTGGTATCCAAACCACAAAGCACGAAGCTCTCCTTCCCGTACCACTCTGGTAAGCACTAACTCAATGTGCCCTGGCTTTAGTAGTCATCATTTCCCAGAAGCTGTCCAAGTCAGCGCTCCAAAACCATAATCCAGACATAATCCATAAACGGACAAGCGATACAAATTACAAAACTCTGCCAACTGGGACACAACACAAATAAACAAGCATAATCATGTTAACACATTGTAAGTGTTTTATATAACATTTATAAATAGCAAAGGTAACAGAAGCTTTTGTATATTTTTATACATGTATTCAGTGGGGCAAAATTAAACGGGAAGTTAAGAGCACAAAATATTCGTCAGCAGTTTCAAAGCCGAATGGACACCACCAGAAATCTTTAACACTGAATCACAAACCGACAAATAACACAGGAATACACCACTGAGCGGAGCTGTGGAGAGGTGTAGCATTTCACATCTCTAAATACGGACATAACAGTTCCTGGTTGGGTTTTTTTAATGCTACTTCCTATAAAAAAATTAAAAGAACACCCTGTTTTCAGAAAGCATTGTGTGAAAGATGCCAAACTCAACAAAGAAGGAATCAGACTTCTCAGATTTTGATTCTTGCCACAGTTAAATATACATTAGTGCAGGAGATGAAGAAAAATGGGTAAGTTTCTGTCGTGGTTAAAATATTCTGTCCAAGTGATAAAATGCAAAAGCCTTACGTGGAACTACAGTGGCTAAATCACCTATCCTGCCTTGTTTCTTTAAAAATCAAAGCTTTGCTGGTGAACATCCTTCCACACTAAGGAACTGTCACTGATCAACCAAAAAGCAGCGGCTTTTCACGGCTTTGAACCCTACAGTTACCCAAGTTACCACAAAATCACAGAATGGTTTGGGTTGGAAGGGATCTTAAAGCCCATCCAGTCCAACCCCTGCCATGGGCAGGGACACCCCCACCGCCCCGGGCTGCCCAAGGCCCCCAACCTGGCCTTGAACACTTCCAGGGAGGGGGCATCCACAGCTTCTCTGGGCAACCTGGGCCAGTGTCTCACCACCCTCACAGTAAAGAATTTCTTCCTAATAACCAGTTTACATCTCCCCTCTTCCAGTTTAAACCCATTCCCTCTCATTCTACCTCTACCTGCCCTTGTAAAAAGTCCCTCCCCAGCTTTCCTGTAGGACCCCTTCAGGAACTGGAAGGCTGCAATAAGGTTCCCCCGGAGCCTTCTCTTGTCCAGGCTGAACAATCCCAGCTCTCTCAGCCTGGGCTTGTACCGGAGGTGTTCCAGCCCCTGATCATCTCTGTGACCTCCTCTGGACCCCGCTCCAACAGCTCCATGTCCTTCTCACGTTGGGTAATCCAGAACTGGATTCAGTGCTCCAGGTGGGGTCTCACGAGAGCAGAGTACAGGGGTAGAATCCCCTCTCTGGCCCTGCTGGCCACACTTCTTTCGATGCAGCCCAGGATGTGGTTGGCCTTCGGGGCTGCAAGTGTGCACTGCCAGCTCACGTTGAGATTTTCATCGACCGACACGCACAAGTCCTTCTCCTCAGGACTGCTCTCATCCATTCTCTGCCCAGCCTGTATCTGTGCTTGGGACGGCCCCTACCCAGGTAACCATCTTTTATCAAATGATGATACTAAACTCCACTGGGAAGGAACTGCTTTCTGATTTGTCCTGTACAGCTACAACTACAGTGATAACCCAGCCACCAGGACCAGCGCCACCATTACAGCCTTATGCATGAGACTATTGCAAAGTGCATTTCATCAACCTTTCAAATGCCCAAATTTAACACAGTACACTCTATTATACAGCTGCATGTTCCTGTAAAATGCCCTAGTCCTCAACCATTTATTCACTCATTTAAAACAGTTTTAGTAGGTGGTGCAGAGATAAACAAAGTGAATGGTCAAGGGAGAAAACTGTTAATGGGGGAGTGAAAGAGAAATTTGACTTTCTGAGCTGTCTCGTTTGCTCCTGAGGCGAGCGATGCAGACTGCTATGCTTTTCAGATTCTGTTTGCAATGTAGACTTAAGCTATGCCCAAGGTGCTTTAAGCATACAGAAAGGCGCCTCTTTTTCAATATTTATATAAATCTAGAGAAAATTAAATAAATAGATTAGGGATTTGTGAGGATACTCTCTGATGGAAAGGTATGAAAGCTTTAAATGTCTTCACTGGTAAATAATATGCTATTACGGCAACAACAAATACAGCTGTGCGGTAAATGAACTATTTTCCAATTACTGTTTCTTGGATGAAAAATGTGTGTTGAGAGCCACTGACATTCAGAGATCAGGGAAGAGATGGATGCACAGGCAAACAGAATTTTGTTTGTAACAGAGGTCTAACGTAACAAAGATCAGTTGTCCTGTGTTGTTTCACAGCATTACAGACAGTGTTGAGTAAGCCTGGTGTGAAATGATACTTAAATCAGAGTGTCACTGTCCTAGAACAGGCTAAAAAGAGACCATTCAGAAAAGTTCCATTATTCTGTTGTTTCGAGTGAAGATCTGTCATGAACCTAATTTTCTACTAAAATGATAAACAGTGAGTACCTGAGGACATGAAATACAGTTACAAGAGCTATCTCCACCACACAGAAAAGAGACTGGATGAGGGCATTGCAGTCACAAGTCCTGAATCACCTGCATGCTCCAAGTGTCACCAGTAGTAGCTGAGTATTGGGTTGGTCTGGCACTTCTACACACTCCAGTTAGGATTCACTTTGTAGACATCAACATCTGAGCTTGTCACCTGAGGTCTTTGCATAATCAGAGAAACTAAGGGTACAGCTCATCTGGTCTAGGATCTCAGAAGAAGACTCAGCACGCACTGAAGTGCTCTCCAGACTCAGATGGGAGCCCAGGCTGCTTCCTCAGTCACCTAAGGTCAGGTGGATCAACTGCACCCTAAGTGCGTGCTGTTTCAGTCTATGAGATATAGTAAAGCACTGGTTTTCTCCACAAAAACCCAAAACCAGTTCACACCTAATGCTTACTATAGTATCAGACCCCCGATTACTTAAGCACTCTTGAAATTTTCAGAGAATGAGAACGGAACTTAATATTTACAAGTTGTTCTGCATACAGACTCTTACTTCTAACTACTAGAGCTCCTCAGGTTGTATACTGCTATTCAGCCCTTGCTTTTCTACTCAGTCTGTTGTCTATCTTGGATTGTCATAGGCCTCACTGCTGTAAAAAGGAAAATAAGAGAAAAAAGAAAAAGCCTCCCAAGTATCTAAACCCAGACATAACAGCCCTTTCCTCCTTCTCTGCTTATAGCGAGAAATGTGAACACTCA